TTTACATTTGGATACGCCATGAGCAGATATGAATGTACGTGAGAGAATCATGGAAGATTGTAGTTTAAAGACAGTAAAATTGACCTTGCTAAGCGAACGCTCCTCTGTGGCCAAATCAGGCTATATGACGGTTCCGTATAGGATACTGGTTCGATTCCTGCCAAGGACGAATACTTTCTATGAAAATTTCTCGGACATTCAGGCCGGTAAATGTTGTTTAATGCCGTTTATTATAAACAGAGCATTTACTTAAATATTTGTCTCTATAAAGAACATACATACATACATATATATATATATATATATATATATATATATATATATATATATATATGTATATGTATGTATGTGTGTGTTTAACATAATCAATCTGCAATTTAGGAACAAAAGTATATTATAAAATATAATACTCCAATAAAATATTGTAATCCAATACGGGACATTTTTTCTTTATAAATATCATCATCATAAGCATAATCAACAACCCAATCCGATGATCGGGTGTTTTCGTTGGGTTGTTGTGAAGCTGAGCCCCTAACCAGCACCTTTCTTATGTCTTGGCGGTGTTCAAATATCTGAGGTACTGGGAATGATCTTGGATTCTAGTTACCATAACTGCTTGGATTGAGGAATCGGAGAGCCGAGTTGGAATTCCACTCGAATCGATTACATTCACTTACATACTCATACCCTTGGGAAAGGTATGAATCCTCTTTTTCTCCCCCTCCAGCTATGGGTAAATAGCAGGACTGACCGGATTCTATAGCTTTGGATAGCAACTGTCTACTGTGTTATTCATGATGACGGCCGTCTTTGAGTATAGAACCCAGAGGTTAGCAGTGAATATTTCCAAGACAGTAGGAAAGCGTTGTTCAGGTTAGCAGTGGCTATTTTAGTAAAAGGTAGCAGAGCATATTTCGTCCTTCTGTTTATTTTCGCCTGACAAGCTGGACTGGACATTCGGCTAGAGTGAACAAAAATGGCCGCCTTTATACACGACGGATTGAATATTCTACGTCTTCTGATTGGTTAACCTTCTATTGGTGGACTATAAAGTGAGTCAAGTCATTTGAGCTAACTCACTAGTTACATAGATATACACAAAAAACTGCAACATACTGCAGAAAGAAATGGCAACCTACTACGGGAAAAAATCTGCCTCGTCATTCATGTATCGAAAGATACATGATCACCTACGCGTGATACACGCGTAGGTGATTTTTGCATATACACGTTTGTATGGACGCATGGTATAAAGCTAACTGAAGTTGTCAGCCAGGTTTTCATCTGTCTGTTAGATCTTATTTAGTAAAAGTTGGCGCCTCTTGTAGGATAGCAGCTGAAAGATCTTTGTCTCTGAAGATAATGTCCATACCATTTCAACTAATTCTTTCGGGCAGTGTGGTGATGTAGAGACTTCCAGTCGTCTTGGAATTTCTTGTTTGATCACTGCATCATTTGATTTAAGAAATTCTACATAGAAGATGCTGAGGAATGGTCCAGTAGCATCTCTTTTCTAATGCTAACTCTTTGTTTTGGTTTTCTTTTTGGATTTCTTTTATTTGTAATCACCCAGAAAGACACTTTTCTCACAGTTTAAATGTCCGCTGCTCACCTTATTCCGTCCAGGATATGACGATAAAATCCATCAGGCAGCAAGGTTTTGTGGGGCGTGGAACCACCTCTTAAATACTGGTGTTCCCAGGTCCACCCTGACGCGGCGTGGTTGCACCTGTTAAGTTCCCAACTATGCGCAATTAGTTAACCCCCAAAACTGGGGTCATAACACTATGAAACATTTTTATAGTCAAAATACCAGCAATACATTTTCATAGTAAAAAAAAAATTATCACCAATACGTTTTTGTCAGAAAAAAATTACCAGCAATACATTTCAATAAGCCCCCCCCAAAAAAAAAACAGCAATTCATTTTTGCGAAGGAAATTACTAATGCTCCCAAGAAAATTAAATGTTGTTATTAAATGACCCATAAGGTGTTGATATGTCGCTGAACAAACAAATAATAAATAATACTTGCCTTATTCTCTATTCTATTTTTCATTTTCTATTTCAAACTGATTTTTAATATTCTTTGGTTTTCAATTTCTCTTCTTTTAGAAATTACCATTTTAAAAACATTTTATTATTTAATAATTTTATTATTTTTAAATTCATGTTTATATTTTTTACTCTCTTTAATTTTGTCTGTTTTCATTTTCTCCTAATTTCTTGCTTTCTTTCTTTCTACTTCGACACTTTAAGCATTCATTACTTGATTCTTTCTCTTCTTTTTTCTTTCTTTTTAGAATTAAAAAAAGAAGTTAATTTGCTCTGTTTTTTTTCCTTCTTTCTCTTTATTTTGTTGCTTTTGACCTTTTCTTTCCGTCTTTGTCATATTTTGTCTCTTTCATTTTTGATATTCCTTCTTTTCTTTTTCAATGCCTAAACTACCGTCTCTCACTCTTCATAATTTTTCCGTTTTTCTTTTTTCCGTTTTTCTTTTTTCTATTTTTCTTTCATTCTCTCCTTATTTTATTTCTATGCTTTTCCAAACTTAGATTTTATTTCTTTTTCTCTTTTCTTTCTTTTCCTGTCTTTTTCGAAATGTTTCTTTTTCCTTTTCACGCTCTTTGTCTCCTCGCGAACTTTTCTTTTTATCTTTCTCTCTATATTTCTTTTCACCTAAAACTCGTGTCGTTCCTTCTCCGTTATTCGAGCGATGGCCAACACTTGCCCCTCTTCTCCTTTCTCTTCCCTTTCTCTTCCACTTCCCCTCCAGCCCTTTCTCCATCCTTCAGTACCGTACCCGCTTCCCTAAAATTCACCTCATCAGCCACTTTTTAACATTTTTTTACTTCTCAATTTCTTTCTTTTTTCATGCTTTTTATTTTCCGACCAAATTAATTTTTGCTCTTTTTATTTTCTTAATGCATTTCAAGAAGTCATTAAACTCGCGCGTTGGCAAAAAAAAATAATCGTTTTTTCCATTCTTCTTGAAAATGTTGGCATGGTTAGGCAAGAAAGAAGTTCCTTGTTTACGACCACCACGACCATCGACACAACCCCAAACCAATGCCACCACCCTCTACATACCTTCGCCGCCGTCGCCGACGCCGATGTCATCAGCGTCAGTATTGTAACTACTGCAACTTCTGCGAACATCAATTACTTTATCATTATTCTTACTATGACCAAAATCTTTATCAAGATAAAGAAATCCATAATATAACAGCAATAATACAATGAAAAGAGTTTAAAATAATACCAATTCATAATCATATTCTTAGACACTGAGTAAAATAATACAATAAGACAATTCAAATGACAACAATCATAAACATAGTCATAGACACTGGCTTTAAAATAATACAATAAGACAATTCATAATCATATTCGTAGACACTGGCTTTAAAATAATACAATAAGACAATTCATAATCATATTCGTAGACACTGGCTTTAAAATAATGCAACAAGACAATTCATAATCATATTCGTAGATGCTGGCATTAAAATAATACAATAAGACAATTCATAATCATATTCATAGACACTGGCATTAAAATAATACAATAAGACAATTCATAAACATATTCGTAGACACTGGCTTTAAAATAATACAATAAGACAATTCATAATCATATTCTTAGACACTGGCTTTAAAATAATACAATAAGACAATTCATAATCATATTCGTAGATGCTGGCATTAAAATAATACAATAAGACAATTCATAATCATATTCGTAGACACTGGCTTTAAAATAATACAATAAGACAATTCATAATCATATTCATAGACACTGGCTTTAAAATAATACAATAAGACAATTCATAATCATATTCTTAGACACTGGCTTTAAAATAATACAATAAGACAATTCATAATCATATTCATAGACACTGGCTGTAAAATAATGCAATAAGACAGTTCATAATCATATTCATAGACACTGGCTTTAAAATAATGCAATAAGACAATTCATAATCATATTCTTAGACACTGGCTTTAAAATAATGCAATAAGACAATTCATAATCATATTCATAGACACTGGCTTTAAAATAATACAATAAGACAATTCATAATCATATTCTTAGACACTGGCTTTAAAATAATACAATAAGACAATTCATAATCATATTCATAGACACTGGCTTTAAAATAATACAATAAGACAATTCATAGACACTGGCTTTATAATCATATTCATAGACACTGGCTTTAAAATAATACAATACAATTCATAATCATATTCATAGACACTTTAAAATAATACAATAAGACAATTCATAATCATATTCGTAGACACTGGCTTTAAAATAAATAAGACAATTCAATAAGACAAAAATTCATAATTCATAATCATATTCATAGACACTAGCCTTAAAATAATACAATAAGACAATTCATAATCATATTCTTAGACACTGGCTTTAAAATAATACAATAAGACAATTCATAATCATATTCATAGACACTGGCTTTAAAAATTCATAATACAATATTAGACAATTCATAATCATATTCATAGACACTGGCTTTAAAATAATACAATAAGACAATAAATCATATTCATAGACACTGGCTTTAAAATAATACAATAAGACAATTCATAATCATATTCTTAGACACTGGCTTTAAAAATAATACAATAAGACAATTCATAATCATATTCATAGACACTGGCTTTAAAATAATACAATAAGACTATTATTCTTAGACATAATCAATATTAATCATATTCTTAGACACTGGCTTTAAAATAATACAATAAGACAATTCATAATCATATTCATAGACACTGGCTTTAAAATAATACAATAAGACTATTCATAATCATATTCATAGACACTGGCTTTAAAAATAATAATACAATAAGACAATTCATAATCATAAGAAAATAATACAATAAGACAATTCATAATCATATTCATAGACACTGGCTTTAAAATAATAATGAAAAAAAAGAAGTGAAAAAGAAGAAACAGATCGACAAAACTAACCAAGAAAAAGATAAAGAAGAAGAAAAACTGGAAGAAGACAAAATAGAAGAAGAAGAAGAAGAAGAAGAAGAAGAAGAAGAAAAAGAAGATGACGGAAAGGGGGAAGAAAAGGAAAAAGAAGATGATGAAAAAGATTAAAGAAAAGGAGAAAACGAAATAAAAAAAGAAGAAAAAGAAGACGAAAAAGAAAAAGAAGAAAAAGAACAAGAACGAGAAGAAAAAGAAAAAGAAGAAAAAAGAAGAAGAAGACAAAAAAGAAGAAAAGGAAAAAGAAGACCAAGGACAAGAAGAACAAAACGAAGACAAAAAAGAAGAAAGGGAAAAAGAAGAAGAATATGAACAAGAACAAGAAAAAAAAAAGAAGAAAAGGAAGAAGAAGACGAAAAAGAAGAAAAAGAAGAACAAGGACAAGAAGAAGAAAAAAAGAAGAAGAAAAAGAAGAAGAAGTAAAAGAAGAAGAAGAAAAAGAAGAAGACGAAAAAGTAGAAAGGGAAAAAGAAGAAGAAAAGAACAAGAAGAAGAAGAAGAAAAAGAAGAAGAAAAAAGGAGAAGAAGAAAACAAAGAACACAGTCGATGCATTAAACGCTGAAAAAAAAGCATCTAAAAAGAAGAAATATCAATGGAAGAAAAATAAGATATTGAAAAAGAATGTTGAAGGAAAGATTTAGAAATAAAAACAAATTATTAAAGAAGAAGGAAAATCGAAAGCTGATGAATATCGGGGAAAAGACGGAGAGGATGAAAACGATAACAAAATATAAATGAAAAACTAAGAAGAAAATATGAGGAAAGACAGACAGACACTAAGTTTTGCAAGAAACGAACGACAAAATTAGCTAAGGCCTGCAAGAATTCTTCCATATTCCAATATTCTGCCCAAACACTTTACTATCACAAATGAAGTTACTTCAGTTATATCGGATGGATAAAAAAAAGTCCCTATAATTCTGAAATAGACTCACTTAACATGTATAAAGTATTTTCTTTTGTAATTTTTCTCCAATTGAGATCTACCTTTTAGGATGTATAAATTCTTAAATCGCTTATTTTTCTCGTGACTCTTCCGATTGTAAGTATTCAAGGATTCACACCGTGTGATTTCGTCCGATCTTTGCTTGTCTGAAGAACGTTCTCTTCTGATGGATGTTTCAAAATGTTACAATGAAACGCATTGTTATCTGTAGTCACGTGACTTTGCTCTATAGTTAGTTAATCATTAAGAGGCATGAACAGATTCCGAGAGTCAATTTTTCGCCACAGAATCTATCCTCACCGTCGAGTTGTATATGTGTCAGGTACGTTGACTAAGTTGATGATTTTATTCAATTTCACGCGTTGTTCGAACTTTACGCCATATTTCTTTTGTAAAGAAACATGGCCAGTAGAATACACGCCATGTTTCTTAACGTCTACGTTTAAAGTTCACAAACCTATGGGCATACTCTTCAGTATGAGGGAGAGAGAAAGGTGGAGTTAGAGAGACAAGTAAGCGAGAGAGTGGGTAAAACAGCGGGGTAGGAGAGAAAGAGAGGGGGTGAGAGAGAGGGCGAGAGAAATAAATAAATAAATAAATAAATAAAGAAAGAAAGAAAGAAAGAAAGAAACTGTATTGTTATGGTCCAGGTTAGGACCAAGGAAGAACAACATGAACACAAGAGTAGAAAATAACGAAGGTATATTACACGAAATAATAATACAAGATGTGGAAGGTGTTAGTATGACTGTCAGTCTGGTGTGGAGTGAACTACTATCGGCTCGACACGATTCGATATTTACTTGCCCCCGCACGAGGGAAAGATGTGGCACAAGGCCGAGTTTTACGTGGGTTTTCCAAAAAATGCCCGTAGAAACTGTAAAAACAGAATCGGGTTAGTCAACCTCCCCGAACGGCAGAGCCTCGTCTGGGTTCCTCTCTGGTCAGAGGCAGAGAGTTCGACCGTCAAGCCGAGAAGCTCAGCTTGATACGGTATCTAGCCATCCACCCACGAGGGTTGCATGTGGCACAAGGCCAAGTTTAACGTGGGTTTCCCGAGCCCGTAGAACCCGTATAAACGGGATCGGGTTGGTCAACCTCCCCGAACGAGACTCTTGAAACTTCAAGAATGAAATATGCGTTGATTAGCTGTGAAGAAAGAAAGAAGGAAACAAAGAAAGAAAGAAAAACGAAGACTGGATCGAAGAAGAAATAAATAAATAAAGAATAAAAGAATTAACCGAAAAATATCGAACGAACGAATGAGAAAACGAAAACCAGACCGAAGAAGAAAGAAAAGAAAAAGGCAGAAGAAGAATGAACGAACATAAGTGCGAGCTAACGAAAACCTGATCAAAGAAGAAGAAGAAAAAGAAGAAGAAGAAAAAGAAGAAGAAGAAATGAACGAGCGGCGATTATATCGAAGAAAAAAGAATGGATGAAAGATCAAAAGAAAAAGAAAGACTGATCGATGAAGAAGAAGAAGAACAAGAAGAAGAAGAAGATGATAAAATCGAGAGAAGAATAGAATAAAGATAAACAAGAATTTAAAGTAATAAAATTTAAGGAAAATGTTATAATAGTATATATATATATATATATATATATATATATATATATATATATATATATATACTATTATAAATAATTTCCTATATTTTATATATATATATATATATATATATATATATATATATATATAATTTTTTCCTATATTTTCATATATATATACTATTATAACATTTTCATATATTTTCATATATATATATATATATATATATATATATATATATATATATATATATATATATATATACTATTATAACATTTTCCTATATTTTCATATATATATATATATATATATATATATATATATATATATATACTATTATAACATTTTCCTATATTTTCATATATATATATATATATATATATATATAAATATAGATAACTAGACCCGAATATAGACTTATAAACCCTACTAAGACGGAATTAGGCAAAATAACTAAAATAGTTCTGCAGGATATATGTAAATCCCTTAGAACTTTCCTTAATATTAACCAATGGCAATCTACTAAGGATTGCATTAAACTGTTTGAAAATTACAATAAAAATAAAAAGTGCTCATTTATTAGGTATGATATTAAGGAGTATTATCCGTCGATTTCAGAGAAAACGCTAAACGAAGCACTTAGCTTAGGTACAGAATACATCCAAATTTTTGATGATAAAATAAATCTAATTAGACATTGTAGAAATACATTGCTATTTCACGATAATACTTTATGGATAAAAAAAGAGAATATTAACGGTTTTGACAACCCTATGGGAGCGTTTGATGGGGCAGAGGTGTGCGAGATAGTAGGGTGCCTGCTGCTCCATAGGCTTAATGAATATATAGACTTTAATAACCATGGGTTGTACCGCGACGACGGTTTAATCATAGTGGACAATAGTAACCCTCAAAAATGTGACAACATTCGTAAAAAACTGCACTGGTTTTTTAAAAAATTCGGATTTTATCTCGATATAGAAACCAATTTGAAAATTACCAACTATCTAGATATTACGTTGAATTTACAAAATGGCACAATATCCCCGTATAAAAAAGAAAATCAAGAACCCCAGTATTTACACATAAAAATCAAATCACCCAGCCCATATTATAAGGCATATTTCTAAAAATATTGTGTATAGACTTTCTACTAATTCCTCCAATAGGGACATTTTGAGGCCAACAAAATAAGTTATGAGCAAGCCCTAATTAAGAGTGGACATAAAAATAAATTAGAATATATAGACAACCACAACATTACTCGAATAAACATAATAGGCAAAGAAAAAATTTTGTGGTTTAATCCTCCTTTTTAATTTAGCATTTAAAAACTAAAATTGGTAAAAACTAAAATTTCCCAAAAAAACTGGTATATATTTTTAAAACAATGTAAAACTACTGGAGCTACATTTCCCAAAAAAAACTCTGAGGAAAATGTTACATAAAATATTTAACAAAAAACAATGTAAAACTTAAAAAAAAGTTATTGTTGTAAAATGCCGAACCCATCCTTAAATGGGAAATATTAAAAAATGCCCAAAATATAAAGTAAATTTTGGGCTGAGGACTATTATAAATGGATTGAATAAAAATATTGGCTAAAAAGACGTTTTCCCGTTAAACTGAGGATTTTTTTGTTGAATAAATATTTACCCCCCCACGTTGTTTTTTGTTTTTTTTTTTCACGTAGCTATCACCCTATAAATATGTGTTAAAATATGCCTTTCGTTCCTCCCTGACGATCCGTTGTAATTGTAGAAACAAAACATCTGTCCATTATAGGGAAAATATATAACAAAAAAGAGAATGCCAGAAAGAATGCGTGGTGTATCAAGTGAAAAAAAATTTACAAAAAATACTGAGGATACTAAATCCTAAAACATACATAGGTGCTACTTTCAGGATAAATTTAAAAAAATATTTATAAAAATATTTTTGATGGGTTTTAAACTGAGTAGTTTTAAGAATGCAAAATTTTAAATTCATAGCCGTATTCAGATACTAATATCTCTCTTTAAAATTATCGACATGAGGGCCTTGTGAGGTTTATTTAAAATACTTCAAAGAATGGAGTCGAAACTTTCATTCAAATATAAGAGCGATACAGGAAGTTCCCTTTAGATAACAGAAGGTCACTTTAGATACAGGAAGTGTCCATTTAGATACGAGAAGGGTTCATCTAAATACGGGAAGGTCACTTTAGATAAGGGAAGGGTCTATTTAGATACGGGAAGGTCCCTTTAGATAACGAAAGATGCCTTTAGATACAGGAAGGGTCTACTTAGATACAGGAATCTCACTTTAGATAACGAAAGGGTTCCTTTAAAAGTGAAGCATTGTTTCTCTTAATACCCTGTTTTCTGTCTTTTGGAAATGTTCGTGTATTTAACCCTTTTATTTAAATTAACAATATCGGATACTAATTCATTTGTTTACTTGTGTTCTGGAACTTACTCGTTTTTTACATGCAATTGATAATACTGTTACACTTTGAAAGTGTGTTTATACTCCTCAAAGTTAATTGGATTTATGTTAAGATATTTCTAATGAAAGCTCATGATTTTTATAATGTGTGTTGTAGCATACCTATGGACGATAATGGGTATGTAGTAAATACAGTATGTTGGTCTGCATTCGGAGATTTGTCTCCAGCTGTGCTGGTCAAACTCTCTGTCTCCGGGCAGAGAGGATCCCTAGACGCGGTTATGTCGAATGGTTCGTCTCGGAAAACAGCTACCCGACCATCTTTTATATGGGATCTACGGGAAATTTTCGACCGATTCTACGGGTTCGGATAGCCTACATTAAATTCGGCCTTGTGCCACATCTGGCCGCGTGGGGAGGTTGGTAGATATCATGCAGTTGGAGATTCATTGTGGAATTCACTTGACTTACTTCTAACAGTTGACTAGTTCTTCTACGCCCCGGTGGCGAATCTTATATGTGTTGTTCGTGTCCTAAGTATTATCGTTCATTACCTACCTTTGTGTGATTATTCTCTTCAGTAAGCTCTCCCTAGGTTAAACAAGTAAAGGGAAGGGAGTTCCACAGACGGGAAGTGCGAGAGAAGAA